TAGCTCCTCTTCCATTCAGTTGATACCTTCCAGGAAACCCCGGGAACGACTCATCTCATAAACGAATTCCTTGGTACACTTACAACAAACAGTGCACACCATGCCAATCGGATAGCCTTTGTCAGCCACACAGCCGTTCATTGTTATGAATACCTGCTGGCATTCTTCGTCTGGAGCACCATTGTCTTTGTTGATTAGCAAACTTCCGTCGTTAGGATACGGCCCGTGGCATGATGTCAGGTGACACGCCGGTGCTCTAATCTGTAAAGCAACTCACTGTGTTGCATTTAACTTCAGATGGCGCGTTAAAAAGCGTAATCGCTGATCGAACTGATGCAAAACTTCCTTCTTCAGTTGTGCAGCTTCATACGTTTAGGCTGCACTATCAGCTGTTTATGCGTTTTTTGTGTATTTTTGCAAATGCAAAAGCGTATATTTTGATGATCCACCTCGTGCCGGTCCTGGGCGCTCATAACGCCTACTCGAAAAGTGCGCGGTTGCTCTTGCATCCGGTTACCGCTAATATGTTTCACTTTTGCTTTGTGAAATTTAGAATCTAATTTCATTTCACAAAAGTCTAGATTTGTTTTCAGTCTTGCTTCCATTCTCGTCCCCAGCGCATGCTGAAACAGGACCTTCCCCACGATTATCTTTTCACGATCTCATCGAATCATTTTTCCCGAGTTTTTTAATTCCTTTGCGGCAGCAATCTAGGCCAAAAGGAGATTAGAAGAATGTATGATCGCTTTGAAGACCCTGGTGTGCGTTGCTACCTGAGTTTTTATTTTTCATTGTTGACTACAAATTTCAGTTTTTATTCTTGGCACCCCTCTTGCCACACAAAAATTTTCGTCCCACTCTAACGGATTCTTATTATTTGCTAAAGGGAAAGAGCAGCAAGTGGCTTCATTCTTGTTTACTGTTGAACAGCAAAAGTGATTGACCCATTGCATGATCACTGATCATTGAGGAAACGAAATTTTTTGCATACTTAAGAACAGAGACCATTTTAACAACATTTGTTGCGAAGAAATAGAAGAGAGTAATTATGTGGAAGCGAACCTTTTCTAAGTGAGCTCCTCGTAAGTAGTAGCTAGCCGGATTGCTAATTGAGCCCGTTTCTGGCAATTGTCTATTAAAATTGTCCGGATGTGGTACTGAACTCACTCGTACGAGCAACCTACCGCCATAAAATCTTTTGCCGTTGCTTGCGTTTGTCGACATCGCTGATTCTTCATTTTTCCATTTCTCTAAATCCAGCCTGCTGCTTGCTGGCAACTTTGCGGAGGGCGGAAAGGCAGTCATCGCTGGGTAGTTCGGCTCTGAAATTAATCATTATTATTTGCAACCATATGGCGATTATAATCTTGGCTTGTATCATTTGCAGTTTTCTGTTGATTTTCTTCATCTGCTTTCACAAACGGCAACATCCAGTTTCATTTGTACGCGGTTTTACCCAAGTCAGGAACGCATTATGGTGCGAAACCTCCTCATTTTTTGTGTTTGTGAGAAAAAATAACTACCGGCTCGCAGCAAGGTAGCCGGTGTGTAGGTCGACCCGCGAACATTTGGTCTTAAGATTGTTCACTGTTTTATACTTTTATATGTGTAAAAATGGTCAAAACGCTGTCTGATTTCCGAGCTTCCGACCAAAAATTCTGCGTGTCTGTACATGAAACGTAAGCGTTTGTGTGAGCTAGATTTGAATTTACAGGATCACTGATGGACAGAAAACATTATCCAATGATTTTAGCTTTCTGTTTTATCTCGTTCTCGAGTTAAAAATTTTGGGTACCTGTATCTAAGCCATAAGTGTACATGAAAGCTAAATTCGAAATTCCAAGGTTGTACATTGAGAGGAAGCATCATGCGAAATTTTCAATTTTTCAGCTTACCAGTTTTCGAAGCAAAAAATTTCTTACCAGAACTGCTTGTTTTTTGGGATATTACCCTAAAATTTTAACTCCCGAAGTTAATAATTTTCACGCCAAAATGTTTTTTTTTTTTTTGACATAGGCTTGGGATATTACCCTAAACTTCCTAGTTTTTCTGGTCCCTGAGTTAATGTTTTTTGCTCCAAGAATTTCACGTGTTTGTACATAAGCCTTAGGCGTCCATGTGAGCTGATTTTCAATTTTTGGGGTTGTGCTTGGGAACACCCTCCTCAAGTTGAAAACCCCGGATAAAGCGCATTCGAACACATATATATGTACAGGGTTTCCGCAATATGCGTTTTGTGCAACTGTTGCAGCATGAGACGCATAAAAACTTAACTGAAAATCGCGAGAGCTAAAAGAGGCTCGAATTTCGGAAACATGCTTCAAGTGCGTGAGACCATCGAAATAAAATCAGTTTTTTAACGTCTCTGCTTCCTGACTTGCTGCCACCGGCCCAAAATAAGGTGAATGCTCCAACACAGAAAAAGTGGGAGAAAATGAAATTAAGGTTTCCAGGAGCTTAATTCAAGCATTTTCGAGCAAATAACCTCAAATCAACTTCTCACTTTCGCAATATCTTTGTATGATTATTAATCCAAACTAATTTTTTTAAAATTTAGATGCATGGCTGAAATTTTGGGTCTTTTAAATAATCTTGAACCGCACAATGACGTAAGCTTTGGTCTTGGTCTGTTTTATCACCTTTAAGTAGAAGGCAGTATTGGCAACCCCAAAACAAAGCAACTTTTGACTTCGAATTTCGGTGACTTATACGGACAAGATGCTTCGAAAGATTATTGCAGCAAAGTTTCACATCGAAACAAAAAACGAGTGGCAGAGGAATTAGTTGTCCTGTTGGGGAAGTGGGACCTTCGACCTCCAGCACGACTGCAGTGCTGCTTTTCACTGTGTCATGCTTGCTTGCCGCATTTTATAGAAGATGAAATAGTGGACGCGGAGATGGGAAGAGGGGGGGGGGGGGGGGGGGGGGGGGGGGGGGGGGGGGGGGGGG